GGGCGGGTACGTCCGAATATCCATGCGGGAGTTCAAAGCGATGAGGACGCTCTGGGAAACGGTCCGACGGCTCCGGGCTCCAGCAGGAGCTGGGCGGGGGGCCGGGGGGCCGTGACTTCGTCTGAGCCGCGCGTCTCTCTGTGTGTTTCTGCAGAGCTGCTCGCACTGCGAGGACCCGGGTTCGACGCTGGGCTGCTACAGCAAAGGCTGCACGCTGCGATACCACTATCTCTGCGCAGTGGAGGCAGGTATGGCCGGAACAGGTGTGGGAGGGGGGCTTTTGGACTCGGGGCACGCTGGGAGCGTTCTGCGGGTGGCGGGCGACCACGAGGCCTCATCTCGGGGTGCAGCGTGCTGCGGGCCGTTCAGGAGACGGAGGCGGACCCCCCAAGTCCATTTTCAAGACTGAAGGGATCTGAATCCTTCTGCCTGTGAAGTCAGGGGCTGCTCTGGAAGGTCGCCCCTCAAGCTGCCTCCTCGGCCGACAGGCCTTGCTGTCCCGGGCTGCCTCTGGTGCGCCGTGTAGCCGAAACGCTGCCTTCCTCTGACGGGCCTTTGGTGTCCCAGCGATCGGCCCGCCTGTCTGTGGCTCCAGGGGGCGGGGAAGACTGGTTTCTCTGATTCATTAGACCTTGCCCCCAGTGCTCGAGCGCGGCAGTGGCACCGGGCCGTTTTTAAAGAGCGTGTTGGAATGGATCATTCGTTTCCTCCCGTCACCCTTAACACGGCACAGACTCGGCGACGCGTGGCCACACAGCTCTCGCACACGCGGCACGGCAGAGCTGCCAGTCATGGTTTCTCCACGGTGTTTACAAATCTTTTGCCCAACCTAAATGGATCTTCGGAGGGGTGTTTTTTCACGTGTTTGCAGTTAATTCTTTAAGTAGTTTGGGAGTTTTTTAAAGTCTCTCTTTTTCTCCCTGTTCTCTCTGCGCAGACTGCTCGCTGAACGAAGAGAACTTCTCCATGAGATGCCCAAAGCACAAGGTGGGTTTCAGGGTGACAGTGGGGTTACAGACAGAGACTGTCTTTGTCTTTGTTGTAAATGTCTGTAACATGTCTGTAGATTT